TTACCACGCTTCAATATTGGGCATAAATGAAAAATATCTGCAACAAGCTCACTGCGACACACTGCTGCGGGAAGATAACCAGACCTTAAAGAGGTGTTCTGGTGCTCAGGGAGGGGCATTAGATCAGAGTAATGACCGCGGCAGAGAGTAGACAAGAGCCGGGCAGAAGTGGGTGGAGCTACAAGAGGAGGACGATTGGTAACAGTTCTTCGTAGGGTTAAATTAAAATGGCTTTTTTAAAGCCATCTATAAACCTGTGAAGAACATTCCCAACTCCATCCTATGTCATCATAATCTTTTCTAACACTTATATTGAAAACAGCTTAGTCTCTGTGCTCCTTCACCCTACATATATGCCCAGATTTAGGGTCCCAACATGACAAGGGCTCAGGAGAAGATCAGAATTTTCTAATTCTAACAACCATCACAGGTGTAGTTTGCAGGTGTTGTTCTCGTGTTGCTGTGATCGCCATAAACGTGCCGCTTGCATTGCTGGAAGCGCCTGTCACGTTCCTTTGCATCATAGCACTCGTAAACATGTCTCTACAAAGAGATATAACATGTAAATTAATCTCTTTGGTTCCTGGAACCTACAGATCCCTACAGTTCTCCTGAACTCTGTAAAACAGTCCTTCAACAATAATATCTACAACCTAAACTCCTCATGGAAAGTAAGCGGCAAACTCTTGTTCTGGACTGCGGTCTGTTTCCTGATGCTAACATCTGTTTGCTAATTAGGTCCAATTCAGAGAGAAGGAACCATAAGAAATTAGGCATGTAGCGAAAATCATTAACTGAAATTAGGCTGCTAGAAAATAAAAGCACAGGAGATAGTTAAATTTGTTCCTGACATTTAAAAGCTCAAAAACGACTATCATCTCAATGCAGTTCTTTCTAGGGGGTAGAGAAGGGTGGGTCGGTAGGTGTACCACCATACCGCCTTATTAGAAATATTAGGATATGATATTGTTCATCTGAGCTTCTAGAAAAAGTTCCCGTTTGCTGAGCCTTTTTAAAGCCATTTTTATCACATCTCAAGTACGGCTCACACAGCTGCCCCGGAGCCATCTCAGGAGGAACCCCAGAAACATGTTGGTCAGGAATCTTTAGAAAAACAAATCCCACAATGACTCACACTCTGCTGCAGAAGTTAGCTGTTGGCTCCTAAATCGACGCCGATGAGGAAAAGAAACGTGACATTTTCACCCAAAGCCGTCAAAAGACATTAGCTGGCCACAGCTCCCGGTGGTGCCGTACTGTAAATGTGGCCCTTCCAGGCTACCGTCTAACAGCCTGTTGTGAAGCATCAGAAAAGAACCCTATGTGGTGAAAATGGACCTCTGATACAGCGTTTTTATGCCTTTTGAGGATCTGGGCTTGTCCTCAAATAGCCTTAGTGTAGAGTTGTGTAGAGTGTGCGTGTCGGCGTCTGTGTGTTTGTGCAGAAAAACAGGGGAAACGTTATTGATGCAGCTTTTATAGAAATCTAACACCTGTTTTTTTTAGCTGTTTCTGATAGAAAAATAAAAAGATTTCGATATGGTGAGAATGAAATGTACTTATTTTAGATTATTTTTGACCTAGCTAATATTCATTTGTTTAAAGTAGAGTTTTGGGGTTAATTAATGCTTACAAATAAGGAAATATTAATCTAAATTTGTAGTTTTAGAACATATGGTTTGTGTACCGTAGAGCTAATGTTGAGTCCAGCAGCAATAAGTGGTTGTAAAAGTGATTTGTTCTTTGGTTGCTGGTTAAGAATGTAAGATAGCTGAGAAAACAGACATCAACACATAAAAACATGCATGTGATGGTTTTGCTTTAATAACTTTTGCTATAAACTGCTAAGCTTTCTCCTTCTCTTCTTTCCTTACTTCCCATATTCTCTCATTCCTCACTTATTCTTTCCTCAGATTAATCTGAAAACCCTTCCTCCCTCACCCTGCATGTCTTTATTCCCTTTCCTTATCGTTCACCACACACCCTATCCTCCTTACAGGGCTTAAATACCAGTTTTTCTGACACAGAGGCACACTTAGACCATGACACAACCTCTCATTAAACAGAAAGCTCAGCCAGCTGCACCATGTCCCTTTTCTCAAGTGCACCAATATTTAATTCTCACACAGTTTGTATAAATCAAATGTGAACAAACACTTTAAGAAAGAATATCACAAAACAACAAATGTTTAATCAAGACAGCAGACTGAAACAGTAACATCCAGAGGAAAAATGGTAAGGTAAGGTTATGAAAACATTGATTTAGGCAAATTAATAGTCAGGTAGAGGATCCTAGTCTCAGGGTGGTGCGGCTGGTTCAGCCCTCATGAAGCCACCAAATGGAAGCAGACAGGAAGTGTTGAAATTGAGGAGGAGGAAATGACTCCCCTGGAGCTCAGCACCCCCATAAACACAACATACCAAACACCTCATCTGCTGTTGGAAAGGAAAAACCCACACAGGTAGACACCAACCCAGACAAGACAATAGAGACATCATCACCAGAACAATCACTCTGAATGACACACAGTGTCCACTTTTAAATATTTGGCGTTCTGTGTTTTGGCACTTAGTCACACACAAAAACCAGAAAGTATTATTTGGGGATTTTATGTTGTAGACCAATAAAAAAAGTAAAAAATGCTTAAATAACGTAGTAGTAGTAGTCTTTACCAAATGCTATCCACATTCTGGTTACTGGAGCTCAGTGTTTTATGTTTGTTTATTGTTTATTTGTGAATTAACAGTATCATGTGAGACAAAGGAAGACAGCACAGGAAAGAGAGAAAGCTGTTTAGACCTGCAGAAAAAAGACCTAAACATCTCAGGGAGCTCTGTTTAGTAGGCAATCTGAACGAGGAAAACTAACAGTTTATCTGAAAACCAAAAAAAGCCCTGGCAATTTAGTTAAACCACAAAGTTAAGGGGGGCTCACTGCAGTGATACCTGCACTGATTTCTGCCCTGATTATTGTGCCGTTTGTGTTGAGAGTGATTGGGTTGTCTTCAGATGGGACTAGATGGAGGATGGGCTGGGCTAAAACCAGGGAGGTCCTGGTAGAAAACCCATCCGAGGCCAAATAAAAATAGGCTGTGACACAGTGGTACAAGAAGGTAGACCAATAAAAAGGTCTACCGGTTCGACTCCCGGCCCGGGGTCTTTCTGCATGGAGTTTGCATGTTCTCTCCCAGCATGCGTGGGTTCTCTCCAGGTACTCCAGCTTCCTCCCACAGTCCAAAAACATGACTGTTAGGTTAATTGGCTTCTCTTTAGGCTTGAGTGTGTGTGTGAATGGTGGCTAATCCTGTTTGTCTCTGTGTTGACCTATGATGGACTGGTGACCTGTCCAGGGACGACCCCGCATCTCGCCCGTAGACAGCTGGAGATAGGCACCAGCACCCCTCGCGACCCCAACTGGGATAAGTGCGAAAATGGATGGAATGGTTGGGTTTCTAACATAATTATCTGTGTCCAACCACTTCAATATCAAAACCCAGTTTGAGTTTTTATGAAAGACGCCTTTTCTGACATAAAGATAAAAAAACCAGGTACCCAACATTAAAGTCAAAGACTTTACCCACTTCACCTTGGAGACCTCTTGGCTTGTAACATTGTGAAAATGTTCACAAATTATGAATATCTTTAAAATTTACAGAAATATTAGAGATTTTGGTAAATCTTTGGGAAGAACCAAAATGTGTATAAAAATAAAATTTAGCTTAGTGTTGAACTTTTATGGTAAATGCAGTACTTGTATTATGCTTAATCAGGTCCAAGAGCCTCACCACCAACAAGACGGGTCAAGTGTCTTAGATAACAGATGGAGCTGGTCCTAAACCAGCAACCCACCAGTTACTGGATGAACTCCTACCTAAATGGCATGTACTTATAAAGCTCCTTTATTCAAGTTAGGAGACTTGACCAAAGCGCTTTACACTACATTCATTCACCCATTCACGCACACACTGATAGTGGCAAGCTACATTGTAGCCACAGCTGCCCTGGGGCTCACTGACAGAAGCGGGGTTGCCATACACTGGTGCCACTGGGCCCTCTGACCACCATCAGTAGACAATGCAGGTGAAGTGTCTTACCCTAGGACACAATGACACTGTGTCCTACCTACCTCCTGAGCCACTGTGGTTCCGGTCCTTTAAGACCAATGTGAGTGTATACCATAACAAAATAAAGGAGCAGTGTTTTCTAGTGAACACCTTTAAAGAGAAGTAAAGGAACAAAAGCCACCAGAGACAAAAAATAATTCAAATAGGACTCACCTATGGTAGAGACACGGCCAGGTCAAGAGTCATGACATGGAAAAAAAACAAACAAGAAAGGCAATAAGAATTCTTCCTTCAATTACTGTATTTTCTAAAAAGACATCAGTTTTTAAAGTTATTTTAAGTTTAAGTAAATATGAAAACAAACACATAGGACCAGCAGGGAAAAGATTGGAATTAAATGACCAGAGAAGAGAGATAACATTAAAACTGCTGGGTGCAAAGTTAGGGGGGAACATCATTATTGTGTTAGCACAAACCTCTGCGGAAGATAGAACTCCCCAAAAAGAGAAGATGTGTAGTTATTTTTTATTATCTACCAGTGTGTCTAAGGACAGAGAAACTGTGATTGGTTAGAGGCTGCATACCCATCAACAAGAAAGTTGTTAATTATGGGAGAATCCTTGCAGTTGATCTTCGAAAATACAGGTTAGCATCAAGGCAATCCAGAGTCTCAAATGGTCGACAGTTGAGTTAGTCACCCCAAAACAAGTCCAACACATGCTACAGATTTTTAGTTGTAGTCATACAAGAAATGGCATAGATGGGTGCAATTCTCAGGATAATCCCCCTGATTAGTAGAAGACACTCAAGCAATCAATACAGCCTGATACTGGAACTACTGAAGCTGGTTGGAAGCATCATGCAGGGCAACAACTGGGTTCTATTTTTAAGGAGCCTTCAGCACTTCTACTGCGGTTAAGGCTGACTACAACCAACCTTCCACGATGGGGACAACTGGAGGGACCACAGCTGTGTCTTCCATTGGATCTGCAAAGCTAGGAAAGAAAGGCTTTGCTGCAGGATTGAGACCAGATCCTGGAACTCCGACAGCAGTGACCGAACCAGGAGATGAGGGTGAAGTAACGGGGGAAGCCTGCGGGGAGGGCTTTGCCTCTGGGGAGGTAGGACTCCTCAATGATGAGGGGGGAGATGATGAGGGTGACTTTCGGGACTGTTTCTGAGTTGACTTTCCATCTTTATGCTTGGGCTGGAACTCTTGCGCAGTGGTTTTAGGTGAGCGGAGAGGTGCTGGGCTCGGGGTGTTAAAGGACAGGCCCAGGGGTAAAGGATGGCCAGCAGCGCTGGTTTCACTGAAGTCAAATAGATCGCTGCTGTTGCTCGTCTGAGAGTTATTCAGAAGCCATGAAGCATCAGAGGGGGACAGAGGTGGGGCAGAAGCCAGCACTTTAGGGGAAAGGGCTTGGCTTGATTGTGAAGCAGAACTAAAAGCAGAGGTGTCTCCCTCTGACACAGCCGTCATAGAAGATTCGTGAATGGAACTTGAGGTGTCGAACATCCCACTGTCAACCATGTTACTGACTGCTTCTGTATTCTCTGAGGAGAAAGGATTATAAAAGGTTTGATTGCTTTGGCCCAAAACGGCATTTTCAGCATCCATTAGGATGTCAACTGGATCACCAGAGGAAGCAGCCCCTGCGAAGTTTCCATGAGTTGTTTTGTTGGTGGGCGACGGCATTGTGAACGGAGCTGCTGTAGCATTCAGCTCACTGTTCAGAGCGAGTGGACTGATGACTGCTGCCGTTGGAGAAAACACATCCTGGGACAGAGGGGTTGAGTCTTCTTCTGGGTAAACTTCTTTCTTCATGGCCTGTTTGCCACCATCCGTGTCTGATAAAGACGTCTCCAACAGCTCATTATTTGGGCTCCCAAGATCCATCATTATGTCCGGTTTTGTTTCCGAGGCAATCGCTGAAGAGGGAACAAAGGGTTCTGCGGTCACCGCCCACTCCTCTGGAAGCTTCCTCCTGTTTTTACTTTTCTTCCCGCGGCCTCCGCTCTTGCCAATATGCTCTTCCCAGCCACCTTCTCCTCTGTCCCTTCTTGGACCGATCCTATGATAAAACTCTTCCGTCGGAGGAGTGTTCTCTCCTGCTCCCTGCATCTCTGATTGGTCCCTGCTCTCAAAGTTTTCATAGGATCCTTCATCTTTCTGTCTCCTTTTCTTCTTTTTCTTCTGTTTCCTGTCAGATCCATCCGTGTCTCTTTCATCACCTCCAGCATAGGCGGAGCTCTCACGGCTGGGCCAGCTGCCGGGCGCATCCTCTGGGCTGGCTGTGAGCTGTTCGGCTTGGTCGGAAAACGTCACTGTAATGCTTGGAGCCAACGGTGGGTCTGTTGATATGGCCCCAGTCTGGTCTTGCCAAGTGTCCTCTAAGGAACCTTATTGTGGGCGAAGAGGGGAAAGTTAAATGTTGGGGGTATACTGGCTCTTTTGATCTAACTAAAAAAAACACTGTTATAGTAGCCACTTTTAAAGTTAGGCCCAAAAACTTTTAAATCAGGTTATTTGGGCTGCCAGGTTGTATTAATTGGCAGCTGCCATAGGATTATATCAAGCTTTTAATCAGTCTAATGCTGGAATCCAAATATGAACTCATGTGCAAATCCTGTTTAAATTTATAGATTATTTGTACATGAAATTGGTGCCGATTTCCAAAAGTATGTATTATCTTAAAATCAATTTGCCCAATCCGTAAATATGACTTTGCTAGTTTAAACGTTCTGGCTATGGTGCATCGATTTCGTTTAACAGATCAACAATGATGGTAAACTGATGTCTGACTTTTAATTATATTGGTTTCTCTACCTCTTTCAAAGTCCCGATGGATGTTTAATTTTAATTAGGTGTTATTTTATGACTAGATCTATACAAACATTTTGTTCTTTTTATTGTTTTGGATATTCCAATACTTACTGCTTTGTTCAGGGTCCTTATTATGTGGAAGACACTCCTCCAGATTATGGCATTTGAGTCAAGCATATGTGTAATCGTGAAAGTCCATGTTGACTCAATAACTGGGCGATTACCTGATACTGCTCAAAATGCCCCAACCATCACCCCTCCGCCACTGTGCTTTAACGCTAAAATGTGTTTAGTTTGTGTCTTTTAGGTCCACTAATCTATTTTGGCTTCATTTTTTTGGATCAAGACTTTCCATAAAAACAACAGAAAGAGGATTTCTTGTGTCTGGACCATGTCTTTAGCAACTGATACTTTATGTTTATCAGTAATATGTTTCAATTCTAACCAATCATGACTTTGTTCATGTTAAGCTAATGTTCTCTGCTTGGATGTGTTGTGCTTCAGATGCAGCTTTGAAAAATCAAATTGTAGACTCTCTCCTCGCCCTCCTTTTTACATTACTGTGAGTTCATGGATCTTAACAATTCACATTATCTAATGTAGATGCTGACCTACATCAGCTGGGTTTGTTGTTGATTTTGGGTTTGCACATTTGAATATGGAACTACTAGTCCTTCAAAAGAAAGGAAAAAAACAATGACTTCTCTAAGATTGTTTTGTGACTTCAGACAATTAATCTGCTAAAACTACTTTTACACAGTAGAGACAGTTCAAATAATATATAGCTTTTAGGCCTTATGGTTCCTTAATCTTTCGTAATTCAAAGTTGTGTGGGTTTTTTTTTACCTTCAATTGAAGCTATGTTAGGTAATTAACACTGATGATGGGTGAGTTTATTACCCCTTAAGCCGGGCATACACTGTATGATTTTTGCGAGAATTTTCCATGACCCGGATGACTTTCACTGGTTACCTCTGTCTCTCTATTACTGATAGCCATCGTCTAAATTGTTCCTTTGGCAAAGGGCCTGAGCTCTCTAACATCCGATATGAGAAAACTGGCTCATACTTCATCTGCTTAGCCCTATTTCTCTCTTAGAGGAAGCTACTAAAAGAGCCATTAACTCTTGGTCGTTTTCTGTAAAGTGCGCAGAGACAGCATATGTTGTAAAATGGCATTATCTAAATGACCTGAACTGAACCGTCGTACCAAAAGGAGGTCATTACAGACCACGCTGCTCTAACTTAACTACGTGCTCAAAGCAGAAGTATAATTATGATGGATGGCAGCAAAACAACACATCTCTCAGTTCCAAGGTAAGGAAAGCAGGAAGATGCAAAGCAAATGAGAAGGAACACAACTCAGGAGGAAATTGCTCACTGAGGCGGATTTATTATTTCTACTTTGGCCCAGTTTAAAACAGTTCTCTATACCCACACACAGACGCACATGGATAGGAAGGAAGAGCTAAAGTAGAGCAGATGTCAGGGTCCAAACCATACAGTGGCTCTCTGGAGGGCCATATTTCATGCTAACAAGGCAACGACAGAACTGTGCTCTCAATGCTGAGGGTTCTAAACTTGGGAAAGGCAGAAAAAAGCTGCCTGGATTGGTAGAACAGACAGCTAGCACGTCAGGAATATACCCGAGCTCCACTGACTGACCAGAGACTGACACAGGCTTGGTTACAGTAGGTCTGCTTAGATCCTCCACCCGCATTAGAAGAATTCAATAAGTGTAAGCGAAGCTGATGAAGGAGCAGGATCAGTCAAAGCAGAATACTTTTCACCATCATGGCAGCTATTGGTGTTTTTATGACATTAAAACAACTTTTGAGTCAAAATTAATGTGACACATCAAAGAGAATACGTACAGGACAAACCAAGAGAAACTTCCAAACAACTTTAAAAAGCAGTTTTTACCATTATGCTAAAAAGTTTAGGGTTGTGGAGAGGAAACCTGAATAATATCCTGTCCGCCGATTCTCCCACCTGAGCAATCAATTTCTGCAGCTCTTCCAGAGGTGCTGTATGTTATGTTAATGGTTATGTTAATGTTAAGTTTTCAGTTCAGACCTCCTCTTTGTATTTTAGGATGAACAGATCCAAAATGTTAAAATCTAACTTAACCAGGATTTGTTTTTGTTTCTTTTCTCTTGTTTCTTTGCTCAGGTAATAGATTACACTAGTTTTTATTTATTGACACTGAGTCAATGGGGCTTTAGAAATCTGAGTCGAAGTTTTTATTTGTATACTGCAAATATTATCAAGAAAGAAGAAAGATTTCGTAAATTAAATGTATTTACCGTTAATTTGAGTTGATAAATAAGATGATTTGCCAACAGAATGAGAATTGTTACTAATAAAACAAGATAATTGGATAATTTGCACTTCATATAAGACAATGAAATTGTTATTTCTTATTTGAAATATAAATTGTTTTGTTCCACCGACAAAGTTTCTCACTTACCTTCTCAAGTCAAGAAAAAATGCATCTATTTTAGATTTTTTGCAATGTAGCTAACATATCAACTAATCACTATGGATTATTTTTCCTCCTTTTAAAAGTGTTCCCTGCTTTGAGGCAGTGAATCGGTCTATTTACCCAATAAAACCAGTAGAGATTATGGCTCTAATGTAACCTGAATGGGAACCAAAAGTTACTGACTGATTAGAAAACTAGTGTCCTCCTATTTAAGGTTTTCTCTGAATATACGTAGACTTAAATATAAAAAATGGCAAACTAAAAATATTGCTTTAACTTTTGCATAAATATTTTAAATCAATCTAAAATTTATTTATTTTTTTTTTAATCAAGACGTTTTTTTTTTAAAAGTTGCATTTTTCACAAAACATTTTCAACAAATTTCCTCTATTGGAACATGTTTTTTCCTTTCAGCAATACTGAAACACATTTCTCTCCATAGATGTAGACTTACTAACTTTTAGTTTAATCTTTATGGTGAGTAAAATTAAAATCTCTTTATTCACTGTGTATCATTATTTATTATGTCTGTGTACTTTTTTACAAATGCTAAAACAGCTTGCCATAGTGACATGGTTTGAGTTCTCCAGAATGAGCACTATGACCCAGAGGGTCTGCTTACTCTCTTTGAGCTCCCAGGGACGCCAAAAGCTTTGGAGGTTTGTTAACCATTAAAATTCGAACTCAAAACAAGTCAATGCTACACAGGGGATTAGTGCTGATGGGAAACATCTTCTAGAAAATACATGTCACCGTGCCACAGACCAGGCTTGAAAAGAAACCAAGTGAATCTCTGTATAAGCTCTCTCTGACAGAGTGGGACTCGTGATGTTTTACCTGCTGAAGCATCCAGAGGGCTGCTGGGAGCATGGAACTCTGGGAGAGCGGCGCTGTGATCCTTCGGGACGTCCGACGCAGCTTGAGGTGTAGGAAACTGCGGCTCGGATATACTCGGGGTCTTCTGTGTCTGCACAGGTGAGGCTCCGACTTCCACGGTCATTCCAATCCCACCAGGCTGGGAAAAGCCTAAAAAACAATTATTTAGGATTTAAAGTCCATCCTGAAAGGTTTCAGATGAATAAATTTGCTTTAATGGTGGAAAAAAGGAGCCTGTGACCTGAGAAAGCACCTGTCTGACAGCATGAAGTAGACCCAGACATCTACAAAAGCAGCAAGGCCAAAAGTATGGAGAGAATTTTGTTCCATAATTGTTGCGGGAAAAAAATGTCTAAATGGACATTTTGAATACAAGAAAATGAATAAAAAAAAAAAAATTTGATTTTCAAATTTTTTTTTTATGTAGTTTAACTGACTTTTACAATCTGTATTCCCTACTGCATTCCACCAGTCACCTTCTCTTCACTTTAAGCCCATTTCAAATGACATTTACCAATAAAAATGCAGTTATTAATGTCCAACAGACCATTAGAAATGTGTCTTTCTCCTCAGTCCAAAACGCAATTTGAAAACAGTGCAATTCATAAAACACAATCTGAAACATTTTGTTTTTAAATATTATATAAAATATTACAAAATTAAGGGAAAAAAATTCTTTAAAAACCTTTTTTTAATTAATATTTTTTCAAGTTTCATTTCTGGTTTGCATCTTATTTTTAAATTTTCATTTCACAAAATCAGTTTTTTCCGACAATAATGGAACACAATTCACTCCATACCCCTGGGTCATGTTTTTCTAACACAGCCCTGTTAGCTAAACGAGCCACTAATTCACCCTCTCTGGCTTTATGCACCACTGTTCCCCCTTTTTTAATCAGTCACAAGGAAAGTTAAGGTTGTTCATACTGCATAGCCCAACATCATCATTCTGCATTTACCCTGGTCACCAGGACACACTGCTCTGCATATTTTTGATGTTTCTGAGCTTCAGCAAACCTGATTCAGATGATTGCAGTTCAGCAAAGCTTGATAATCTGCTATCAATTGATAACAGGTATGTGAAAGCTGGGAAACATCTAAAACATGCAGGGCAGTGTGCCTTGAGGACCAGGATTGAAAAACACTGGGTTAGAGAAACCTAAATGTAATAAGCTCGATTCTAGCAGCTTTATGGATTAACTGATTTGTGTAAACTAACCAATTCAAAGAAGTTTTAGTTGTCGTAATGGCTGTATCCTAAAATTGTCTGAAAATTAAAAGTGTATTTGATTAGAAAAGCTTCATAAAAAACTAATTTTAAACGTTTTGGAAAAAACGTTAATTACATTTACAAAGTGGAAAGAATAAACAAGAAAATTCTACTTTCATTAATTGGTAAACTGGTCCAAGTGGTGCCAAAGGCAGGAGACCCAGGCCCGTGCTACTGAAACCTTTAGTTTATCTCAGCTACATCTATCTCTGCACAGATAATGTCCACAATTGGATCTATGCTTTCTAAGAATGTGTAGCTTGTTATACCATATCTCTAAAATGCAGATTTAGTGTAAAAAGCACAAAAAAAGATCAAAAATGTAACTTTTTTTACATGTCTGGTGCAGACTCCCAAGTGCTGAATTTCTTTAGAGCCTAAAATATTTGAAATATAGTTTCTAACTCCTAAAAACACACATATACGCTAAAATTAAGGCATGCTACTTTAGCACTAACTTGAGGTTAAAGGTAAAATATCTAACTGAGACTTTAGAAAATATGGAGCAAATGCCAATGATACAAACGTCTCTTTCACACCGATCTATTGCTAGGCTAATTAAAAAACTAGCTACTAAATTAATGTTAAACAGAATGAGGTTAGAAATGAACAAAAATATATCCATAGCAGCAGCATTAGGAACGGCTGCAGTAAATGTACAAATTATTATGTTTTACAGACAATAAAGCTAAATAAATAAATGCAGAGGCCTGCAGCAGTGGCAGCTGTAGAAATGAAAAAAGCAGAGTTTTGTAGCAGAATGCTTCCAGCTATACCTTGAAAAGTCCCCAGCAGACCAGAATCCATAATTTGGACGGGGCTGGAGTGAGAGGCAAGGGAGTCAGAGTGAGCCGCCATGGAGACTGAGAGGATGGAGAGGAAGAAAGATGGAGGAGGATGTTAGACGTGAAGGCATTAATAATTCAGCACACCAAACAAATACGACAGGAGAGCCGTTCTAGTGGCAAAGGTCACTTTCAGTTCTAATCGATTGTGGTGTTCTGATAACAAAACAGCCGTCCAGAAGGTCCAGATGTTCAGTCAGCAGCAGCCTGGGCTCGAGGCGAAAACTGTTAGAACTTGGGTCCTCAAACCAAACAGGGAATTGCTGATCAGACGACGACTGCTCAGGAGTGAGGAAGGTCCAGATTTAACCATAAAGGTTTGACTTTAAAATATCTTCTAGGAGAGCAGTAACCAATTAAAAATCAGAGCGGTCTGAATAAGAAAAATCATCAACCAGTAAAAGTCTGGAGACATTTTTAATTATAATCTGTTACTTTAAACAGAATTTAACACTGAAATAAAATGAGGTGTTTATTAGGGGTGAAACGGTTCACAAAATCCACGGTTTTCGGTTCGGTACATGTTGATTGTTAGCCTGACATGTTGGCCATGTTGCTGTTAGCATAAACAAAACGTGTTGCACAATGCTTGCACACTGTTGCACTTTTATCCACAGCTTTCTTCCCGCCGTCATCGTAGGTCACTCTAAATGCAAAGTGGTCCCATACAGCAGACCTATAAAGTGCTGCTGGCGCGTCTTCCAACGCCTGTTCTTTCCCACTCGCCATACCCACACAATTCTCCACAACAACTGATTTTTTTCTGCTACACCCGGCTACGCTGCTTCGCTTCTTCTTCTTCTTCTTGTTTACTACTGGTGGTTGGCTTTGGTCGCAGTACCGCCACCTTCTGCTCTGGAGTGGAAACGCTTCGCCTATGAGAAAAAGGAGCAGCGCATGAACCGAACGAAACACGCGAACCAAACCGAGACAGTCGAACCGAACGGTTCGGACGGTTTTCAAAAACCGTTCCATCCCTAATTTGTTGGTCATTTTAATTCATGCAAGGGGTATGAATAACTTCGGTGCATGATCATATCTGCAGGAAGTAAAGCTAACGGCAGTTCTGGTTGCTTTTCTGAGTGATAAGCGGCCGTAGAAGAAGAAACGAATTAACTATTACCATTCAAGGAGTCGTCACCTGGAAAAAAAAAAAAAAAAAGTCTAAAAAAATGCTTGTTTATTTCTGGACTCTTTATTCAAACCAGAAAAGCCTACAAACTAACTTTTCGCTCCTCCACTTGAATTAACGTTATTCCTGGAAGGATGCTAACGTTAGCCTGCTCCGCTATCTCCACTTCTCTATTCCACCAATCAGGGATTAATCCGTTGTCGCCAAGTGCTGCTGATTGTGTAACCTTTGACCTCCTGAGCAAGAGACCAACCATGACAAATGCTAATGTTGCTAACGCTATATCCACATGAACGAGTGTAGCTTCTAGTCAAACTCCTGTGTTTAGGGTTTCCAATGAACTCTTAAAGGAGAATTCCGGTTTTTAACACTTTTAGCCCATTTTCTGTAGTGTCCAGGATGAAATCGAATGATCGACACCAAAATTTTGACAATTGGGCCTGTCTCTGCTATTTGGCTCATGCAGAATCCCCCCCTGGCTGCTTCAGAATGGCTACCATAGAGCATGTCTGATAATGTCCTTAAAACAACCTTAAACATTCTTTTTTTAAAATATGCTACTCACCGGGTCGTCAGCGCTGTTCAATGACGTTCCAAAAAAAGTTTCGTAAAGAAAAAACGTTCCTGTAGTGTTTTATTTAGCATTTTGTAAATCCCATTGAGTTCTGTAGGAATAGTCAATATCCCTCCGCCACCGGAAACGGAAACGGGGCCTGTTTACGCTTAGTTGTAGTCTTTTCGCTTCACTCTGTGTACTCCGACGTCGAGGTGCTAACGTCTCTGTTAAACACTTTAAAAAACTCTGAAAATGGAATACGAAAGGTGGATTCTTGAGGAGGACATATTGGACTTTGAGTTTGACGGTAGAGGATACCGTCGCCAACTAGTGGTCTGGAGTGTGCAACGCTTCAGATTCGAACGGGAAGCGGAAGTTTATAAGCGGTTGTGATGTATCGGAAAAAATAGTTCTGGGATTTACAAAATGCTAAATAAAACAAGACAGGAACGGTTTTTCTTCACGAAACTTTTTTTGGAACGTCATTGAACAGCGCTGACGACCCGGTGAGTAGCATATTTAAAAAAAAGAACGTTTAAGGTTGTTTTAGGGACATTATCGGACATGCACAATGGAAGCCATTCTGAAGCAGCCAGGGGGGGATTCTGCATGAGCCAAAAAGCAGAGACAGGACCAATCGTCAAAATTTTGGTGTCGATCATTCGATTTCATCCTGGACACTACAGAAAATGGGCTAAAAGTGTTAAAAACCGGAATTATCCTTTAAGTTTTTTTTTTTACCTAAAGATGAATAAATGTGAATTTAAAGACATTTTTCGAATGATTGAGTAAAACAGCAGTTTAATTTGCCTTTACATAATAAAAAAGCTGGGATGGGCTAAGCCTGGTCCAAACATAAAGTATGGCTGAGGCTCTAAAACCTCCTTCATAAAAATGTAGAATGCTTTAAGTAACGTTATTAGATACTCAATGAAGTACAGGAGTTTTCTCCAGTTAAATAGAATATATAGACGTAAGCTTTTCTCCCCGTGCTGTTACCCTCTGCTGGTCAGCTGGCTGAAACAAGGCTCTTTTCACTTACAAAGAATCCTTCTGCCTGGAAGCATTTCAGAGAGTCGATGAGTGGAAGCGACAGCTACCTTTAAGGTCAAACTACACAAACCAAGCTACAGCATCGCACTTCTAACATTTGTGTAAATATTTTAGTTCATCTTTTGATGAGATGAAACTGAGGATGTCGCTCTTTGATACGACGTAAAATAGTCAAACAGACGTTAATGTCCAAATTCTTGGCAACCAGAATGAATTATGTCTAAATGTTACCAAAGGGTGAATATTTGGTGCAGCCATCCTTTTTCCACAGCATAGCTTTGACTCTCTAGACGAGTCTGGTTGATGTGGTTGAACTGGAAAGTGCCTTGAGAGGATATAATGTGAATTGGTGCTATAGAAATAAACTGAATTGAATTGAGTCCTCTTCCTTGATGAAACATCATGAAGCTGGAGGATGTTTTAGACCCTGTGTTTCTTTACTCTCCATCTAAAAACTACCCAACAAACAGTTAAAAGTCTGGAATCATGTCTCCTTTATCTCCAGTGATCGCCCTGGAGGAATGTTTGGGGTCGCGGTCATACTGGGGATATGGAGAGATGATTTATTCAAAACAATGGATGGAAAAATACTTCTGTAAATAAATTATTAATAAAAAGTTTCATCATTAGATTAAAAATATAGTTCCTGGAGGGAAGGGATCGCACTCTTCTTCATTACGTCACAGGTTGGTATTTTTATTCCTTTAATGGACGCTTACGCAGCCCCAAACATGACACTTCCACCACCATCCTCCACTAGGCGAGGAACTCTGCACTCCTCACCTGGTTGCCGTCACAAGCACTCTAAACCATCTTGACCAAATAGATTAATATTGCAAAAATAAAAATTAAAAATGTAAATCCCTTTATTGTCCAACAATGGGGAAAATCTCTCTCTGGATTTAACCCATCGCCTTGGAGAGCAGTGGGCTGCCATTGTGTGGCACCCGGGAGGGACCCAGGGTGCAGGCAGTGGGGGTCGAACTGGGTACCTGCAACCTTCTCAGAGCACTGTTCTAACCACTAGGCCAACACTACCACACAATTGCTATTATTAATATTTTAATTTCCAATTTCTTTATTCTTCATGTCTTCAGCAAATCGTTGGCAGTTTGTTGTGCATCGCTTCTTTCTTTCATAATCGCCACGTAGACGGACTGAGCACCAACAGGCATCTGATATCGGATTATTAGCTCGACAAGAAATGCTTCGAAACCAACTTTATCCATAGCAGCTGCTAAGTATTAAATTTTTTAGCAATTGTTCTGTGGTAAATTTAGTTTTATTGTATTTATCGTCTGCAAAAACCTCACAGCAGCCTTTATGATTAGACTCCAAACCAGACAAGGTTTTGATTTAACTGCAAATTTTGAAACCTTTTCAAGAATGTCATCCTAAAATGATCAAGTTCCTTCTAAACCTCCAGGTTACGGTGTTTCCACACACTTCTCAGATAAATATTTTCCACGCTCCTTAATAAAAGGTTGTGAGACTGAGGCCTGCGGCGGGTTTAAAACTACATGACCCCTGAGGCGACCTTCAGACCTGCAGCTCTGATAACGTCCTGCTGAACATCTCCATCACTGAGCAAAACAACAATAAAACTTTATATTTGTCCCTCCCTGAAAGATGAAAATAATCCAAAAAAAAAGGACTGAACTTGTGTGAAACCCAAAGCTCCAGCCTGTGCTCGCTCACCTGGGTGGTTTCCGCATTCAGCAGCCATGCAGGTCCCAAACACGCCGGCATTCAGCTGCAGAGCTCCGCCTCGGTCTGTCTGCGCCGCAGCCTCAGCTGGCTCTGAGCCGCCAACGCTGTGAACCCTCACACACACCCAAACACACACACACACACGCCGCCATCACAGTCAGGGAGTCTGGCTTTGGTGCGGTGACGTTTCACCGCCTGTCTGGTTCAGGTCCCGGGTATCCCCCCCCCCAGCCACCGCCTCCCCTCCCCTCCCTCTGCTGTCGCCACCCTTCAGCTCATGTCTGCGAGGTCCGGGCTGAACCGATAGGGCCAGAATGGAATTCGGGAGTCAGAGCGCGAGACAAAACGACGGCGGAAAGACAGCAGGACGGCGCTCGTCTTTGATCAGGAGTGACAACCAGGAGAATCTGATAAAGGGAGAGGAGGACAGATAGAAAATAGGAAGGAGGTGATGTCGAGGAGCAGAGGAGACGCAGAGGGAGGCACCTTTAGCGACCCCCCCCCCTCTTCCTCCTAGCAGCGTACACACAGGCTGACGGTGAGGCGAGCCGACAGGATGCTACCCAC